TTTCGGGCTTGAATCGGCAGCTCCTGACTGCTTAATCTCCTAGGGCAATGCCAAGCGGCAGTGCATTGTCGTGTTTCAAGTTCACTTTGATTTGTATCAACAGAACGGGGGCCTAAAGATTTGGTTTGGGAGCGGAAACTTGCTGGTGTTTGTGAAGAATCTCCCATGATCCGCTATGTATGCACATGTATGCACCATCAATCAATGATCTGTTTGTTTAATATCAGTTGGCAATCATCTATCGTCTATCAGTCTATCATATGTCATATCAAATACCTGTGTGCTTTGTGCTCCGATTCTGTGATACATGCCCAATCTCCAACTGCATGAATAAACGATCTTCGAGGTGGTGCACAGAGGTTGAGGCAGTGCAAGATTGCCAAACCACCCACCTATACTTTTCTGAAAATAGACCAAAACATGTGACCAGAGACAAGTGAAAAGGACAATTGCACAATGGCAGATTTCTGGGGCCTTTTGCAGAAGAGGCGATCTACCTGTTCCACTCAAGAACTTATAACTATGACTATGGCTATGACGACTATAATTATAACAGAACAAGATTTAAAAATAAGTAAGTAGAAACCGGGGAACGACACGGAGTGAAACGGAGGAGTCAGCATCACCAACAGAGCATGATAGAGCATGCATGCCTTCAGGGCGTTTCAGCATTTGTCCAAGTTAGTTTCAGTGTCACCGAATTTGCAATGCCGCCCAGAAAGCGAAAGAGCGAGGTTGACGCAGCGCCGCCAGCACCTAAGAAGGTTGCTGCAAAGGCACAGGCTAAGGCCAAAGAGGCTACAACTAGGACTAGAGTCAGAACTGCGGCAAAATCTTCGGCAGCAGCAAAACCAAAAGCTTCAGCAAAGAGTGCATCTGGAAAAAAGCGATCTGTGCAGTCATCTCTGGATTTCCCCCCAGCGAAATTGGCATGTCATCAACCCAAGGAAAATGAAGACATGGACAAGGAAGAAGAAGAATTCTGGGGCAACCTGTTTGCCGCAAGTGACCCTGTCCAAGAAGACTCAGATGCAAAGCACTTGAAAGCAGCAGCAGCACACCCAGAACAGCAACCGCAAGTCGCGGCTCCGGCAGAGGAAACAACGCATGAGCATTACACAGCAGCTGGCACAGCAGAAACGGCAGAGCTTCCACAGCACTTAGATGAAGCAGCGCAGTCAGAACAGCAACCGCAAGACGCAGCTCCTGCAGAAG